GACTTAATCAACGTTGCTGTTTAATGAAAATACGTTGCATTATGGTTTGTTTATTGTTATAGTTTATTGTTATATTCTTTTTACTTATGGTCGCTCTCAAAAGGGCCGTTTGTTTTGAATATTTTCGGGGTGTTTGATGACGTCATCGTCCATACGAGGCGTACGTAAAACAGAGGGTTCGTATAACTGGGGTACGTAAAAACGAGGTTCTGTATTACTGTATAATTATATAAAAAATAATACAAATTCTAAATGTTCTACTTTCTTTGAGGTGGTCTAGACCCTCAATCTTTAAAAGTCCTCCTTGGGCCCCCTCTATTTTACATTGCTGGAAATGCCACAGATTTCCTCCTTGGGGAAATCGAAAATGTATAATTGAATCTCTTTATTATCTATTATTTATTCTTGATCAACTTCTAATCCATATGTTTTTCCTCGAATAGATTTGTGTATGATTTTTAGCCTAACTTGTTCTTATTTATAAACAGTATCTGTTTTTAATCCATGCTTACTCTAGGACATTAATAATAGATCATCAAGAGTATTTCATCATGGAGTGTACAACTTGCAAAAAACATTTGCTACTTCAAATTCCATGAGGTATGTAGTTCAATAAATATTAGGTGTTATATTGTTGTATTCCGTTGGGTTCTATTGTTTATTGTGTATCTCTTTTTCTTTCTGCAGTTTTTAATATTTAACAGAATGTGATTAAAATGTGGAATTAAATCTCTTCATCTTTTCTTGATCAAATTTAATCATTAATTTTGATTTTCAGGTTTTCTTGCTCTATAACTACTGTAAGAGTATTAACAATATCTATGAACAACTTACATATATATTATTATATTTTTTTTTTCATTCTTAACATTTAACTGATCATCATAAGTATTCATCATGCAGTGTACATGGTTAAAAACATTCACTATTTCAGAAAACACAAGGTGTTTAATTCTATAAATACTATACTACTTGGTACATTATTTTTTTGTTGTTTTCAATTGATGTTCATTTTGTTTTTCAATAAATTAATCAGTTTTGCTGAGCATCTTTATTTGATTGACCCTCAATGTGTGGTTTGATCTTTTGTAACACATTTTTTTAAAAGTTTATTACTTCTCACATTATTTACCTATTTACCTACCTGTTTTACTTATGTGAGATCTTATGCTTCCACCTAAAATCTTTTGAAAATTAATAAAAAAGATTTTTAATTTGTATGTCTTTTTATTTTCATTTTTTAAATGTCGGACTCTAGAATGCTATAGAAAACATTATACTTTTTCTGTATTCTAGATTATATCTTGAATGATGGGAATGTTTGGAACATACCAACAAATATACAGAACAGTGATCCTTAATCAATGTAAAGAAGCCTGTGAGGTTCAGCTAATCAAACATACAATAATGAGCATTTAGTGTGTGCTATTTTGTATTCCAGTATAGCACTGAAAATATTTTTAAAGTTTACTCTATATAAAAATTAATAATGTGAATCTATAATTTTTGACTACATAATGGTAATTCTTTTTTTTTGTATGATAATTTAAAATTCAAATTATTTAATTGATTTTAATTTAAGTTGTGAGTAAATCTTAATGAATAAGCTAAGCTACTATTGTCATGCCTTTATGTTTAATTCAATAAATATGTTTACTTTAAATGGAAATACTAAGTATAGTAGGCTATGTAATGGTGCCTTAACTATTTTGTTTGCAAATTAAAAGAAAAAAAACCCAGTATTTTTGTGTGTTTATTAAGAATTGTAAAGCGCCTAGAGGGATCTGTGATTATTATTATGTAATCATTTCTGTTTTACATATGAATTTTGTTAAAACCTGCTAAATACCCATTTAAACTGTTCTTGTTGGAAGACATGTTGATACCTGTTAAAATTCATTAAAATACCTGTTAAAAACCTGACAACTGTCAGTGTAGAATATAGTAAATAAAAAACATTGTACAAGTGTGATACAATAAATAAAATATACTGAACTAACATACATAATTATGATTAAGAGTAGTTTTAATAATGACTTTTGCCCTTAAAACAATTGTAGCTGTGTAATACACCAGCGTTCTCCAAACTTTTTACTTCACAGCCTATTTACGATTCCAGGCAGCAAACCGCGGCCTAGCAGCGCCAGGGACCAACATACCAAATCCTGGCAAGAACTTTTGATCATGAAGCCTCCATGTATATACAATATTTTGATATTATTATCTGTTCTCTCAGTGATAAAATTTCATTGTATACAAATTAAATATTATTTTATTAAATAAATAATACCGTACATTGTGTCCCCCCCCACAATTATTGATTTTTTTTTTTTACCATGATTCAACCAAACACGGTTCAACCACACACGTCATAGCTTTCTCCTTCTTCCAAAAACTCTGTTACTCCGCAACTTTGAAAGACTACCTTTACTATACAGGTATTATGTTTTAGTAATAAAGTATCCACATAGGCATTCGGTTATCAAGAACTGTGTGGTATTGTTTACTGTAGTGATCTTTATAGGACTGGTCTTATATTTATTTTTATCTTTAGCTCATGTCTCATCCCATCATTCCTCCATACTGGATTTACTCGATCTTACAGGGTTAATACTAGACGATAACATAGTGTCTAGCTCCGAGGGGGCATAGACACAAAAACTGCTTAAAACTCAAATAGCACGCATCATCTGGCGCTTTAGTAGCACGTGCAAGCGACGCATCCGCTGTAACAATGAAGCGGCTTTATTAAAAACTATTTTCTCCATGATGGGAAGTCACTTTGTTTTTTCAATTTCCAGAAGTCTTCACGGCCCTCCAAAAATGTTTCGAGGCCCAAATTTGGGCCGCGGGCCATAGTTTGCGGAACGTCGTACTACACTAATTAAATAGGTCTAGGCCTAGCTAGCTATAGAGATGTCGATGTGTGGACGCGCAAATATTGTCAATTGACCTTAGACGCAGTTTCCATGGTTGCTATTGACAAAACCGCTGTATTCGTGCGGCTTAGAAAATTACTAATTACGTAAATAAAACTAAAAACGACATTTTATTTCTCGGTGGGCGACGTATAAGAAGCCATTATAGGCTCTGAATATTGGAATCTTTCTAACCTCTAACTGTTTAAAAACACAAGTGTGTGGCGTACTTTTTCATTATTTAGAATTATATTTTAACGAAATATTATTGTGTTTTAGAATTTCCTTAACATAATAACTTTAAGGGCTAATATGTAATGTTTTGTCATAGTGTTTCATGTACCGTCGCGTAAAATCTGCTCACCGATTATGCAAGAACAATACCGAAAGGCTTCGTTCTAACAAAAACAAGGAAACGCGCTGTAAGAGCTTTTCTTCTGCTTTGAAACAGTGGTGTTGGCCACGTTTTGGGAAAATCCAAAAAATGGGTAGGTCGGTAGGAAAATTTTTTTAACAACCAAATATGTGTTTACGCCAAAAAAGTAGAAAATACACAACTAATACAACAATTTTGGATTCGCATCTTGTACCTTCCAGCAAAATAGGCTGGCCTTGGCCCCTAGCCTTGCCAAGGCTATTCCAGCCTTATTTACTCATTAAAAAAAATATTACTCGTTAAAAAAAAAACTAAAATGTCGACCCTTAATTTCGTAAAATTTGGGTCGGTTGGGTGTGGCCAACACAATAATTTTTGTTTTTTTTGGCCCAATGCAGAATACAGTTTATTAACAATGTTTTTTGCAGAGTATTTCTTTAACTGAGTGATGCTCAAAGTTTTGTACCGGATTAGATAAACTATGGTACAGTAAGCTTTTAATTTAAGTGTATAAATTATTTCATACATTATCTTACATCCTCACCAACTTAAGTGAGAGAAAGTTGCAAGAATGGGATCATTTTCAGGGGTAATTTCCCAAGAGTGAGAAATTCCATGAGAAGTATGTGAGGAATGAGTGGGAAATACTCTCCTAACTTTCAGCGAGAGAATTCCTCACCCCAGCCAGAAAATGTCTCGCCCTTGCAGGGTTCGAAATAACGCTGGTCCGCCAGCCAATGGCTAGTAAAATGCATGGCGGACCTGTTAATTATCCCAATAACAAGTCCGCGTGACCAGTTAAAATGTCAATGAAAGAATGACGAAATACCTAAAGCTTTAATCATTCACCTCTTAACGATGTCTTTACAAAATATTTCACACAGATAATGTCAACAAGATCGCTATTTTCTGTTTATTGTCATGTTAATGTCCGCTATGAACAGTCTCGGTCTCAGTCATTCAAGGCGAACAGATGAACATCACGCACTAGCCTAGACCATAGAGGAATCCATGGCTAGACGTACAGAGGGAAATCACCTTCTACGCATGTTATAGCGACAAGGAGAAGTTGATTTCCGTCTGTGTGAACACCGTGAAGTTAAAACATCCATGTCATGTATCCATCTCACAATGCAACGTGGGACAAAATGTTTATAAACAACGCAACAATTTCCAGACGAAATAACGCAATAATCATACCCTGTAAATGAACCGTTCGTACAGTCCCAATAGCATTGCCATGGAGATTATCTATTAATTAAAACGACACTCCAGTAAAATGTTACATAAAGCAGGGAGTTGGATAAAGTCAAAGTTACGCCTTCCATTGTTTTAATAAAGTGCATTATCAGCTATGAATACTTAAAAATCGACTGTAATCAACCTGAAATGAAAAAGGAACTCAAAGCAATTGTTTCTACAACGGCTCTTTTTCAGTAGACATTTAATTCGGATTTGGTATGTCATTAGATTCATATATCAGTCTACATGTAAATTACACTCACATTCCCCAAAAACATTGCTAATTACGGAGGGAATTTGCAGAGAATGAAATTTTAATTTGTTAAATTTATTTTTAGATTTTACTCTAAAACAAAACCACGAGGGGTTTGTTATTCATTTTAATAAATTTTTTTAATTAAAAATTTATCGGTTTACGCTAAGCTTGTTCCTGTCAGCAAGCTGTCACGCACTTTGAAACTTTGGGCGATCTGACGTCACCACAGCACATGGGATTTTTGTCCAGCAACATGACCCCACGAAAAAAATTAACCAATTAGCGGGAAGAGTTTAGGAGGTGCGACCTGATATTTACAACAAGTCGCATCGTCGTGTCCACGAAGAATGTGTTGTTTACAGTTAGAAACCCAGACCTCTGCGAGGGCCAAGGTTCCTATGCGGGCATTCGTAAAATACTGCACTACTGTATTTTCGATGATATAGACATGGCAACTAACGAGGGAGTGCTCGTGTTAATTTGAGATGACAAACACACTAGCCTTTGCACAGCCATACGCAACGCATCTTCTTTGACATCTTCCTGTGGGCATATTTTAACTAGTGTTTTTGCTACAAAAATAGCTTGGTACCCCTGTTCAGTTAGAAATTTATAAAGTTAATTTTGTAATTTTTTGAAAAAAAAAATAAAAATTATTTTCTTCAACTGTACTAATAAACACTTCTACAAGAAAGTCAAACCTCAGCAAGAACAAGAAAAATATTCTCATGTACGGTACATACATATAATTAATAGGCTAGGCCTAGGCATACACCATTAATTAATTGAATTTATATTTATAATATTTTTTAATATTTCAATTGATAGTATAGTCTATATAGAAAGGGATAATATGCCTATTAAAGCCTACCCCTAGCTTGCGTGAACTGCTTTAGAAAACATCGAAAATGATAGACCTAAAACATTAACATTAACTTAAGTAAAGTTATTGAATAAACATTACAATCCGAAAATAAGAATTACACCGCAGTTGTACACATCCCCATATATAATTAGCAATAGAACGCAACCTAACCTAGGCCTGAAAACACGCTCGGAAGAGAATCGTAACAAGATTCATAACCCGATGAAATTACAATGTTCAGGCGGTGTCTAATTACACTGCACCAAGTCTACGCTCTGCGGCGAAGGGCCTAGCAACGACCGTCACACACAATTGAAAGACACATTTTAATATCTCTAGCCGCTGTTCGTTATTAATTATTTCTCAAATTTAATAACATCACGTAGTAGTTATAATAATATATTTTCACACATTTCTTGTTCGCGAATGATTCGGTTGAGTTCAGACCTAAAAAAAAATACTAATTTTTTAAACACGCTGTACTATATCAATAAATGAATGGATTTTCTCCGAACAAAGATGACAACAAAGCTTAAGATCGGATCTCTTAGAAAACGATCACATGGGAGCGTTAGGACCAATCACAATGTCCGGATTCTGCTTTTTCAAAACGTCATGCAGAGAACGTTGTTGACAAAGGTCGTAATTCACGCGGTGCCTAATGAGCGTTGTATACACTGAGTTAGTGGGGAGTGGAAACTGGAATAAAACGAAGGTGCATCACTTATTTTACGATAACGGGAAAACTATACAATATTTGTGAATGCCGTTTTCAATATTTAGAGATGAGATATGTGAAATACAGGATCCAAAATTATAATGAATTACGTTCAGTAGTTTTTAAATTATTATAGTTCAAAAATTGACTTTACATTTTTATGGCATGCTGATCTCAGCGTGCAGGATTTCGTTCACTGATAAAGTGATTAGCGATTAAAGTGCCTAATTCAGTGTGACCACTGCTTGGGTATTTACCCAAGATCTTGGGTATTTTGACTTGGTCTTAGGTTCTTGGGTATTCCGTTCAAATCCTTGGGTATTTTATTTTTACTAAGAAAATTTAATATTTTTGTCATAGAGGAAGAATTAAGAAGTAACAAAGTATATTTCAGTCCATCCAGTAAAGAGAGCCTGGCATCTAGAAGTTGAAGGTAGAAGAGTAAGGGGGCGGCCAAAGGTGACGTGGAAAGATATGGTGAAGAAAGAAAGTTCAAAAATTGGTTTGGAGGAGTATGATGCACAAGAGAGGAAGAAGTGGAAAGATGGTGTAGCTGCATGGAACGAGTGACAGTCAGTAACCCCTTGGAAGAGGGAAGAAAGCTGACTTAAATAAATGATAATGATATATATTAAAGTAAGCAAAACTCAACGAACTGCACATAACATTGTTAATTGCTGTAAACATGGGTTCAGAATTGTTTTTTGTGATTTGCGCTGCCATTGATCTTACCTAATTAATGCATTACATACTAAAACTTGATCACTGATCTACTGATAACACTGGCCGACTGAGGGCGTATTTTTCTATCCGTATTATCACCTCATGAATATTAATTTTAATAATTAACACAAACAATTACAATAAAACATGGTTTATAAATTGAACTAAAAGGGAAACTATATACATGCAAAAAACACGGTTTTTTTCATGCATTTTCAGGAAGCTTGGGCAATTTTGGGCAATTTTTGCTGAATCTTGGGTAATTCCGACCAAGTCATTGGGTATATCAAAAATTGTGAGTGGTCACGCTGGTGCCTACAGTAAATCAGTAAAAATTTCACGTCCCCATGGTTACGTTCGCAGTTAATCAGGCCTGTAGCAGCCTTTCACTGGATTGAAAGGCCAAAGCATGCCCCATTTGTACAACGCAAAACCAAAAAGCAAACATGGAATGGACTGATTCTCATAATGGAGTATCGTGCCAACGTGGTGGAAACCTACCTGCGGAACGTTTCTTACTCAAGTGTTACTAGGCAACTTTACTTACAGTACTGGGAAATTTAGTATTGTTGCCTATTTCGGGATGGATCGGGTGGATTAATTTTATTTTCTTAATCGTTAAATATTTCACTGACTCAGTCGGAACTGAGCCAACAATGGTTTCACTCTACCGTACTGTAAACACGTTAGTCTATTATCCGATAGAAGCTGCAAAAGGATTATGGTATCCAGTCAGGTATCAAGTTTGTTATGTTTTTTTCAAACCACAACACTTCCATACACAACACAATTCTATTCTGTCTGCTGTAGAACCTTATCCAAACTCCAGTATTATAAAATTGAGGTTTTTGGAGTGCAGATAAAGTTTTATATCCATACCAGCCAGGAAAGTCCCTGGAGTCCGATCCATCACATTTAAGACAACGAGAGTACACAACATTCCATAAATGTTTTCCTCTTATCATACAGTTTACTAGTCTTTTCAAGAGTAGGGGGTATTGTCTCTCATTAGTATGGCTTTAATATTTGTCAAAATAGAAAACTATGAAATAGGGCACTGTACTTTAATATTATATGTTAAATGTTAACTTTTTTCGTAGGCTAGTCATACCGAATTCACTGGGCTAGCCTATGCTGCTCAGCCTCTTTTTAGCGTCTTGGCCTAGGCACTAACTGGCCTGCCTTATTCGGAAAGGATTCAATAGAAATGTTCCACAAACCGATCTATCAGGAAAACCGAACATTGTAGCAAACATTGTCTTGTGAGAGTGCACTGTACATACAAATAGATTCCTGTATTTATATTTCGAGGCATAATTTCCCAAACAGAGACAACAGAAAGATTTTTCTGTATCTTGTCAGTGTTACTTCATCGGTGGGGGTGGGGGGGGGGCAGCATGATTAGCATGTGAAAAATATGGTATTTGGGACTTCCGAAGTTGGCAAGATAGTGGCTAGTGAAAGGGATTGAGGACCAGTAAAAGTATTAATTTACTGGTCCACTTGGCTAGTTAAAAAAAAACCTTAAGGGAAACCCCTGCCTTGTCAGAAAATTCTAATCTTTGAGAAGACTCCCCACTTCAGTTGGAGAATTCCTAGCCATGTCAAGAAATTCTCCATCTCTGGCAAGAAATTACACACCCTTTTTGCCGTTTCATGTTGGAAATTAAAATCTATACCACTTAAGTACCTGAGGTAATGTATAAAATAATTCATAGTAATAAACTGAATGACTGCCTAAAAAATGATACTGATAACCTACTTCATAATCTTCGTCAGACAGAGGAGCAAAAGCATTTTCTAGAACGTCAGAAGCATGTGAGAGATAGATGAGAGCAAGTAACCGCTTCTCCATTCGATGAGGGTCGTTTGGCCATCGACTCAGCATGCCATCTTGAACTCGTTTTACTAATTTTTGTTTAATAGTTGAGTCAATTACTGGATGGGTAGTCATGTCAAACAGAAGGAAGTTTTGTTTCTCAGTTGTTAAAACTCCCTTCTCTACTAGATTCTTGGCAAGCCGTTCTCGTACATTACGTAGTTGATAGCGGAGTTTCAAAGGGTTCCATGTTTCTCCTGCAATGACAACAAGCAAAATAACTCCAGTTTCACAAGCTAAGAGGGTTGAATTGAACATCAAATCTTTCATTATAAAAACCTACCAACTGGCTTCGCATGCACATAAATGAATGCAGGGTTCTCACCAGCATTTTAAAGTGGTGGTCTGCAACCCCACCCACCTCCTCTCCAGCTGCTATATGATTGAATATACCCATGAATCCATGGTGTACGAAAAGCAAATCTTCCCAAAAATAGTATTGTTAAAATACAAGTTTGATCAAAACAAATATTTGTAAAAACAAAGGAATTTCTACTCATTATTGAACAACGTATGGATCGAATCATCGGCAAATCAACGCACACGGGTCATTCCACCTCAAATCAAACAAATTTTAGGATTCCCCATGCATTCCTGTCTCGGATTCCCTTCAAAATTTTATCCAATATTCCCCAATCATTCATATGAACAAATCTGAAGTTTGAACTTTGTAACTCCAAGTTGTTCCAAGATATAGGTATTTTAGTGAGGATGGTCAGCATGCAAAATTTAAATTAAAAAATGCGGCTTTTAGTTTTGCACCGTGTCCAAGACTCAATATCTCAGGAAATAATGTAATTACAAGCCTGAATTTTTTTGTGCTTACTAAGCACTGAAGCAGGTTATAGAGCTCTGATATATACGAAATCATGAATAAGCAGTGTTCCTAAAATGTGAGACACCCTTCAAATGTCAAAAAATTGAGATTTACCTTTATGAGTGACCAAGTTTGAGACCCAGAAATGTATAATTGCTTTCATCACAACCCTTCAATTTTTTTTTCTCTATTTAAAGTCCATCCCACTGGCTATATAAGCCATGAATATCAAAGCTATACACACATAAATTATGGATTCAGACCTTTCTGAAATCCGAAAAAAAATCATTACATTTTCAATTCAGGCAAATCAAGTGTGAGCATATTACTGTACTTATACAATTAATTATTCTTATGATATTCCTTCATAGTATACTGAATTTTTCAATATTTCACTATTTTACTACTGGTGAATTGCCTATAAGGCCATGTTTTTTTTAAACATATTGAAAAGTTATATTTTCTGCTATATAGTTATTGCAACTATTGCAAAAAATTTGACATTAAAAATGTCCAGGGGCGGATTTAGGGGGGGGCCGGCCCGGCCCTGCCCCAGGCCCCCCTTTTGGGAAGTAAAAAAAAGGGAAAAAAAGAAAAAAAAAATGTATTTGAATATAACTTGTTATTGTCAGAATCATCATCATCATCATCATCTTCATCTTTTTTGGTGATCCACTTCTCGAGCGGATCACTTCTTGTTATTGTCAGATCTTTTTCTTATTCTACCTTTCTTTCCATTTCTGTTCGCATGATATCTTAAAATCGCTTCATCGATCATTTTGGCTTCGCATGGAATAGTCACGGTAAGGTTTTCAAATTGACCAGTCATGCGTGACGTTTTGAGCATTTCAAAATTTTTTGACATTTTAAACTACGCGTGCGAATATTTACGTGCACAGCACGTACGGAAGCTAGATATTACTTTTTTTTACATATTTTGGGTTCCTGATATTGTTTTCACAAATTTCCATTCTTTTCGGTCATCTTATGGCCAATAGCAATGCCGTACGTGCGCATCAAACATAGGGATCTTTGCGCGCGTGAAAATGTGCTAAAATCAGGCCTATTTTTAATCAGTTATAGCTCCATAGGATGAAAGGTGACCCCTAATTTTTATTACATATTCTGAAAGCACATGAGTTGTAGATATGATTTTTATAGATCATAATGGCTGATCGGACATTGTGACGTCACCATATTGCCAGCCGAATTCAATAAAACTGAATTTTATAGATGACGTCATTTTTTTAAATACGCATTTGAGCGCATCTCGCTTATCCTTGGTCGATCGTCTTCCAACTTTGAGTATGTTATAGCTGAGACAATTTTCTTTCATATGACTTGTTTTTACATTTTGGTAACATCATCATGGTCAAAAACTGAACACTGCAGGTGTGTATGTTCCTTTGTATGCAAAAACTAACACAAATTTGGGAATTGCGATAATTAATAGTCATTGCGATAATTAATAATTCATTCATTGCATTTTGCCAAAATTTGAAAGTAATTGGAATTGGACAATTTTTATTTATCGTGGTATGCAGGGATGTCACCACGCAGGTCGGCGGTGGACGGGCCCGTCCAGCACTCAACATTTCCGACCAGGATTTACAGGCTCCCGACCACCACTATTATTTCAACAGTTTACAAATTGTAACAAAATAATTAGTTTACCTAAACACAATAGACAAGCTAAATCGATAGAAAAGACAATAAGAATACAATAAATGTTTCCTTGGTTACGTTAATTGTAACAAAATACTGCACTGCCCTGCTATTCATCGCTAACTTAACAGCCTAGGCCTAGGCCCAGTTGAGTCATAGCGAACATCGTGGGCTGGCATGACACGGTTGCTCTGTACACATTCAAAGGTTAAAGTTGAAATCGTGACCATTCAAGTGTTTTATTATGAGATCATGGTCCGGGGCAGGAAGATTATTAAAAATTTACGAAACATGATTTATGTTTTATTTCTTTACTTTGTTTTCATTAAGTTTTTCACTTTTAATTATAATTGATATATAATGTGTGTAAATGGACAAAAAATAAATAAATGAGTGCACATGAATCAGTGACATACACATTCATCATGGTAATCGTCAAACATGTGAAATTACGGCAAACAATGCGGCTGGGTACAGTCGGATCGACGCTCTGTCGCCGGGATTTGTTCATTATTATTTTTTAATCTAAAACAAAGCATGTCAACTATTGAATTTAATTAGGCCTACAGTAAGTCTCATATTCATCTGTTTTGTTGCATTCCTCAAATTCTGGCCTAGGCCTACCTGGGCCTGGCCTAGGCCTACCTGGGACTAGCCAAAAAAAATCGCATCAGCTAGCCTTGGGCCTAGGCCTGCTCAACTTACTTAGGCCTTTTGGTTTTTAAGAGCTTTCACGAATACGGTGACCCCCCACCCCCGGGAAAACGCGGAATGATCGCTGACCGGCACTTCAAAGAGCTGGTGACATCCCTGGGTATGGTAACAAGCAGCAACTTTTTTCCCTTTTGAAATAGAGTAAAGCAACACCTAATGAGCAAGTATACAAGAAACCAGATCTCGAAATGATGCATTGCATTGTTTAGCGTCACATCTCCAAAAAAAAAATCAGGGTGGGTGGGGGTTAATTTTACTTTTTCGCATCAATATTCTTTCTGCACGCATCCTAATAAAACTTGTTTTAACTAAAATATGACAAGAAGTCTTTAAATAATTAATTAATCACAAATAGATAAAAAAATTTATTAACAACAAAAAGTTGAGCACTATACGCCAAAACAAAATACACTACAAAATAAACTTGGTTAAGGCCGAATGTATATTTGTCAATGGATGAAGATTGTGAAATTAAGAGACCTGTTTCTTAACGGCAAAATAATAGAGTCATTCCATATGAATCCAACACACTTTTTTGCCCGACCCCCTTCAAATCGCCCAACATTTTGCATGTTGGGGGTTCTACCTGATATAACCCCACAGTGAAATTTTTGGCTCCGCGCCAGCATTTTCAAAAAATTTCAATTTATTTTAAACCACATAGTAAGTAGGTCCTAGTGTAGAAAAGTCTTCCCTTCCCACAGTCTTCATATAACTTTTAAGTCAATAACGCATTTATCATATAATTATCAGAATAGGATATTTAGTAATCATTCAATGAATCAAAGTGACATACAATAAATGAGCGTGTGTGCAGCAAAATTTGGAAATTCTCAATATCACTTTTCGGATTTTAAAGCATGTTTTAGGACATTTTCAGCATTGCAAAACTTTCCATAACTTGCGCACCGTATGCTCATTTCCACGCACACAACACGTACTGAAGATGGAAATTAAGTTTTGTTACATATTTTGGGTTCCTGACACTGTATTCATATCAGGAGTTAACTTTTTGTGCCATTAACATGCACACAGGCATCAAGACGTCCGCGTACGCAAGTGTAAATCTTTTCAAAATTACACTTTTTTTTTAAAAACCAGAGCATATTTTAGGCCATTTTGAGAATTTTAAAACATTTCAATCCGCACTGCTCGCGCTTCCTGAGGGTCGAAGTGCGGCGGATCACCAAACTCCTCCTCAGTGACGAGTTCAAATCTAGTTAAAAAAATTAAAATTGTATTAAAAAAATACATGCTTTTAGGACTAGAAGAATATCTTTTTGATTTTGTGGTTAATGGTTCTATTTAGCATGGAAGTTCAATGTTGAGGAATAGGCCTAGGTCTTGATAAGTTGTGAAGTGTGGTTTTTCAAATGATGTGAGTAGAGTAAAGAGAATATACACATATTTCTTGCTGATAATATCGCTTTTATTTGAAAAGTTACATAATGATTTAATAATTCATTTAATGATTATATTAAATTCTACTGTACCCAGTCAATGTTTAATATTAACGAGAGCATTAATGATGCAATAGCCCACTTGACAATAGCTGGCAATGTTTAAGTGCTGTCGGTGGGTGGAGGTTGTGTGGAGTGTTGTTATGTGTACTGAGCATAAAGAAAAACATTTAAAGTTAGAGTTGTATGCATCATCATAGACCTTTTTTGTTATGTTCACTTAACAGTTAGGAAAGGTGTGATGTCGTGTACAGTGATATTAAAGGAAATATGGTTGTTGTAAGGTTTGTTGTGTACATAACTTTTTGAAATATTTTGTACTGTAATTATGAAGATATTTATGTAGAGGTTTATGATATAAGTAGACAATTTGGTGAGTGAATGGAATTTGTTGTATAGAAGTATTTCATTGTGAAGAAATTATAAAGGCGCATTATAATTACGTATATCATTTGTCTGTCTTTGTTTAGTTAAACATGCAGCTTTGTTTGAGAAAGGCAAAATAACTTCTTGGCTGATGTCAGATACTGATGTATGTATG